TGAGCAACGCCGCCTACGGAAAGTTCCGGAAGCTCTTCCCACAGTGACAGGCCCGGGCGGACGGTCAGCGCGGCCCGCCGGCCTTGACCGCGCACGCCTGGTCTCCCCCGCCATGCCCTCCACCGCCCGGGCAGGAAGCAGGGCCGGCTCCGCGCTGCTTCCAAGGGTGGCCCGGCTCCAGGCCAGGTGGACGCCGCCCAGGCATCCGCCCACCAAGGCTGGGGGACAGCGCCCACCGTCCTGCGGAGTAAAGCGCGAGAAGGCCCGGGCTGTGCGTCCCTGTTCGTTCCCAACACCCTGCGCGCTCGCCCTCGGCTGGCCCCGTGGGGACCCATGGCCACCCAGTCCCCGCGAAGTCAGCGGTTCAAACCCACCGTCTGCCCCAGGGAGAAAGACGGACACCCGTCTGTCCACCCTCGTGACATCGCACAGACTCGCCCTCACGGTGTACCCTTGGGTGGGAACGGGCAGCGTGTAGGCTGGCCGGGGCTGCGCGTCAGTGACCAGGCACGCGTCCCCCATCCCTGCAGGACGTGATTGTGCACGTGCGGGACGTCAGCCACCCTGAGACAGAGCTGCAGAAAGCCAGTGTCCTGTCGGCGTTGCACGGCCTGCGCCTGCCCGCCCCCCTGCTGGGCAGCCTCGTGGAGGTGCACAACAAGGTGGACCTGGTGCCCGGGTGAGTGCCACGGTGACCCCAGTACCGCAGCAGATGTTGCCGTGGGGGCGTGACCCGCCTGACCCTGGGCCCCTTGTCTTCTCTCTCAGTGAGGAAGCCGAGGGCTGGTCAGGGGCAGATACAGCCCCGTGGGGACGAGCTCCCTGCGCCCGCGGGTGCCCACCGCATGTCCTGTGTGCCCGCTGGGGTCCATCACCACTGTCCCCTCCAGCCTCCCAGCGGCCTTTCTCAGGCTTTCCCGTGTGGGCTCCCCTGCCTGTCGGCGCGGCGGCCAGTAGGACCCTGCTGCCCGGTCTGGCTGGTGGGCCAGAACCAGGGTCTGGGTGGTGCGGGCCCGCGCTTACCCGCTGCCCCTCCCGCAGGTACCGGCCGGCGGAGCCTGGGGCCCTGGCTGTGTCTGCGCTGCTTGGGCAGGGCCTGCAGGACCTGCGGCGCGCGCTGGAGGCTGCTGTCCTGAAGGCCACCGGGAGGCGGCTCCTCACTCTCCGGATTCCGCTCCACGGGGCGCAGCTGAGGTCCGGCCGGGGCGGAGCGCAGTGGGCGTCAGGGCCGGGGTTGGCTGGGGCGCAGCTGAGTTGAAGGGGGGCTGCACTTGCAGGTGTAGTCGAGGTGGTTCTGGGGGCCCTGGCACGGCTAGATCTCATTAGGAGGCACAGCAGTGCACTCGGCGGGTGCTGCAGCGATGGAGGGCGGGTGCGTGGGTGCCGGCACCTTCCTGAAGCATGAGCGCCGTCCCCTGCAGGACACAGGAGGGCAGAGGCGCCTGGTCTCCCGGGAGGGGCTGCCGGCCCGGCCCTCCTCTGGCTGTGTTGGGACGCCCAAGCCTCTGTCTTGACGTGCACCCTGGGAAAGGGCCTTGGTTGCAGCGACCTGCTCAGGGGCGCCTGCGCACCCACCCTGGGAGTGGCCCTTCACCCCTTCGACAAGCAGGCCTCACCGGGTCTCGGCAGCTGCCCGTTTCCTTGATGCTGCATCAGCCGGGCTCCACGCAGCTCCCTCTGAGCAGATCAGCCTGGGCTCACCCCGTGTTACCGCTGACCAGAGCTGAGGAAAAGCCCCTAGAACCATGCCACCACCCACCCGCTGGCCCTGACCACCCTCCAGTCCAGCTCACGGGGGGCAGCCAACAGCGGGCTTCCTCTGAACTCACCCGCCAGCCAGCCAGCTAGCCACCCACCGACCCCTCCCCGCCAGCTCACCCAGGGCCAGTCACCTGCAAGCAAGCGACTACACCT